GCCCTTCATGTTCACTACTCAGCCAATGATCTTCAGTTGTTCCTTCGAAATTTCCACCAAAACCTCGCTCATAAAACCAGTTTCCAAAACTATCAACCAACTTAATGTCGCTTCAGCCTTTCCTTTAACAGTTTACCTCAACCATAAACGCCTATATATGTGACAGTTACAGAAATACATTCACCCCACATGCTTCACTACTCCATCTGTTCCCACACAGATCCCTTCACCTTAAAAGATATCTCACTAGCTCTATTTCGGCGGTTGCCGATGATTCACCCGTCTCCGCCCCACATTTCTCTTCCATCTCTTGCATCACATTGTTATACTACTATGGCTACAAAAAAGATTGTGGTTATATCGGCACTCAGAAAAAGCCCAAATGAACCTCGTCAAAATCAAATTTAAACGTAAGATCGTCATCGAAATCGAAAATAACAATACATTACCGCCAGATTTTCGTCCCTCAATACCCCCATTACAAACAACTCGCTCATCTTGCTGCTAACATTGCACCCTGACCTTTACCTACCACCAGCTCTAATAATGTCGATATTACAATGGAATATCACCGCAGTTTGCGTTTTTCAATGACTGCATTTATTCCATCCTTTCTTCAATTCAGGCCAAGTGGGAATCCACCACATTGGACTTTAGTCTGATATTAACGAACCTCGCAAAGCTCTCGTAAACTCGTATCGATAATTCCAATTGCTAATCAGCAACACACAAACCTGATGACATCCTTGCCCATATGATTCAACACTTATACCTACAGCACTGGTCTTCATATTTCTTTTCGATAGCACTTGCAGTGACACTTTTCGAAAGGCGGACTCGAGCCAACACTTCTCGCTAAGTAGTTTCTCTAGCAACATGTTGAAAGGCTGGGGTGGCTACACTCTTGGAAGCCACAGAACCGACTCTTCCTATTCAGTTGTGATAGTGCTTCTCCACCATCGACACTAAATCAGACCACTGGTATCAACTCTCATTGTCTGCAGATAAAATCAGTGTCTTTTCTTCATTAAAGAATTTGTGGCACTATCTGGCGTTACAACGTCATCTGCCACCGATTTCATATCAGAAAGGCGCTTCTGTGTTCGAGTAAATAAGTTTTTCATATGTAATGCATTTCTTTGTTCTGCTCGCCAATAACTCGCCTCTGTTTTTCCTTCAGAAATATTGTCAATTTTATATGATGACTTTCAACTCGTAACGATCTTTTTCCAATACGCTATTGATCACGCTTTCAATTAGGCCGCCTTACAGGGTTTAATGTTTTTTTTTCTAATGCGAACTCGATATCTCTACAGTCCATTATTATCTCTAATCCAGATCTATACCTATATAACAACTATATCCCTGAACGAGATACGGTTAAATTTCTCAGCCTTTTCTTTGACGACCGAATGTCGTGGAAGTTCCGCATAACCTCCCAAAAAGCTGCCTGTCATAGTCTGCTGAACCTGCTTACAACTTTAGGCCATTTTTCTTGGGAAACTGATAGGCAAATCCTTCTTCGCCTGCATTCAGCCCTAATCATATCTAAATTGCTCAACGAAGACAGGCTATATTCCTTAGCCTCCCTTGCTACTCTTTCTAAACTTGATCCCATTCATCTTCAATGTATTTTGTATGTTTTGAGGAGTTTCAATCTTCCACAGTCAAGAGCCTGTATACAGAGGCAAATGTCCATTAACAAGAGACACGATGACCATTGTTTTCCCTCTTTCGGCCTCTTCCATGACCCTCACTATCCTTCCACGTACAGTACAGTAAGATACATTAGAAAGACTAATTCATTTAATCGTCGTCCACCCCTTTATTACGTCGCTTTAATCTCCGTATTTGCTTTCTACTAACATCTCTTAATTTATCTCCCTTTTACATTCACCCATTACGTAATCCCCGAATGTAATGTGCGAGGGGGAGGTCGAGAACATCATATTTGTAGTCATGTGGAAGATTTTAAAGAAAAAATTGGTGATTGTGTCTGGTTCCCACCGCTCTTGAGGTTTGCTCAAGTTAGATGTAGACGATATATCCAAAAAGATTCAAGGATTTTTCCCTTTCATTTTGTGTGTGTGAGGGATACTGACTTAGTTGTTGCGGTTGAGAAGTTAATGTTTTTTTTTAAATAATAGTCTTGTTTGACCGTAATAAAACGAGCATTATTGTTCAATTATTTACATTAGAAGATTCCTGCGAGGTTGTCCTGTGTAAACGTGTGTGCAATCTTAGCATGGTATTTCATACCTTCTGGATGTGTCGTTGATAAAAAATCTCTTGCTAAACGATTGAAAAGGCATGTCTTAATTTTGTGTTGGTAGGAAGAAACATTTTGAAGCATTTTATTTCAGTTAGTGGAATGATATTTGCTTTATACTAATACCTTTGCATAAGAACACTTACTCAGTGACGTACTAGTGCCAATGACAAGCCCCTCACAACCCTGGCCAGCCTCGCATCACTCCCCTCTTTAGTATCATTACCAAAATGAGACATCCTGAGACAGAGGGGTTATCATTGCTGTTTAAAAGCATATTATACATTACCAAAATGAGACATCCTGAGACAGAGGGGTTATCATTGCTGTTTAAAAGCATATTATAACACACACACACACACACGCGCGCGCGCACACACACACACACACACACACACACAACACACAAACACACACACACACACACACACAACACCACACACCACACACACACACACACAACACACACACACAATTATCTCTACGTCCACAGCAGGACTCGAACCTGCAAACTCTGTATCAGAGTACGCAATACTGAGTGCTACGAACTGTGCGGAGTACACGGTATCAAAGTACGCTGTATCAGAGCACGCAGCACTCTGTACGCAGCACAGAGTACTACGTACTCTGTAAGTAGCACATAGTATTACGTACTGTGTTGCGTACTCTGATAGTCTGCAGATTCAAGGCCTGCTTTGGACATAGATAATGTTTGCAAATAAATTCACCTGTTTGCAAATTGTTAAGCATGTATATGTCGTGCCGAATAGTTAACACTTGCGATTCTGGCTTAAATAGCAACGCTCTTCTTGCCGAATAAGGCAAGCGAAAATTTGTGTATGCAATAATTTCGCAAAAATTCTGAATCACGAAAAAAATAATTTCAGTGTTTATTAAATTATTGTAAACTTGTATGAAATATATTTAGTTTAGGCTAAATTAAATTGCTCCTTTATAATAAGGTTAGGTAAGTTTCCTAAGGTTCTTTTGGCACAAAATCATTAATTTTCATATTAACATAAATGAAAAGATATATGAACTTACAAGCGCTTTCGTGATTTCTCACATTATCAAGAAAATTAAAAATAATAGAACAGCAGACGGCATATCAAGGCGAGATTACACTTCGAGGTCAACATTACCACCTCGCCTTTTTATTTATGATGATGCTGGCGAGATGCTCAAGAACCCTGTCAAACGTAGCTTATATTCTAAAATTTTAATTTTAAATGACTCTAATTTGAATAATCCTAAAGCAATATTTACATTAAATTCACTTGTGGCTTAGCGCTTCTTTTTGATTATAATAATAATACATTAAATTCAAAAGTTTTTACGAAGCTTGATTCTATGTCTCAACCTTGAACTTGCTTAAAAAAAAACTTTCTCTGCCTTTTGAAAATCAATTAAATGGCTAAAAATCTCTCGCATGAATAAACACAGCATTAGAATCTTGTCCAATACTAATGCTATATTTATGCTGCTGTAGCTGCATAATCCTACAGGTTTAGCGCTCCCCATGTTTATAATAATATGTTGTTGTAATGTTAGTTTAAGGCTTTTTCCAGTTTAACCGTAATAAACTTTGACATTGTTTTACAAAACGCAGCGTTTAGCATTTTTGACCCCTCAAGGAAGGTTCCTTGATGTTGGTGAGGGGCTCTTGATTTAGGGAATTGGATCTGTGCTCCAGTATCCCGAATTAAGCCTGAATGCCTTCCACATCCCCCCCCAGGCGCTGTATAATCCTCCGGGTTTAGCGCTTCCCCTTGATTATAATAATAATAATAATTAGCATTTTTGACTTTTTTTTTTTTTTTACTGTATCATGATTTTGAAATACAACTTTGATTTTAAAATTCTTTAGAGAGGGTAAATGCCCCATAGGCGCCAAGATTTAAATGGTCCAAACGCGCCGAGGTTCAAACTGTTCCATGTGCCCCGAGGTGCCCCAGAGGCTGGGTAGGTCGCAGCTGGTTGCGGTGATAAGGCCAAGAGGGGCATTTGTTCATGTAGTATTTGTGTGGGATTTTGTCTGCGTACTGGTTTTAGCTACACCATTTTGCTTATGTTTGTTGTTGCTAGTGTTAGTGGAGTTTTCTAGGGTTATTGTTAATAGTTTATCTGTGGTTATTATAAAACTGTAGTGAAGGGAAGGCGGGGTAGGGGTCGGCCTAGGAAGGGTTTGAGGGAGGGGATAAAGGAGGTTTTGTGTGCGAGGGGCTTGGACTTCCAGCAAGTATGAGTGGGCGTTTTTGATAGTGAATGGAGACAAATTTTTTTTTATTACTTGACGTGCTGTTGGAGTGTGAGCAAAGTAACATTTATGAAGGGGTTCAGGGAAACCGGCAGGCCGGACTTGAGTCCTGGAGATGGGAAGTACAGTGCCTGCACTCTGAAGGAGGGGTGTTAATGTTGCAATTTAAAAACTGTAGTGTAAAGCACCCTTCTGGCAAGACAGTGATGGAGTGAATGATGGTGAAAGTTTTTCTTTTTCGGGCCACCCTGCCTTGGTGGGAATCGGCCAGTGTGATAATAAAAATATTTTGCTTGTCGATACTGAGGTTACTCTCGTGTATATTAATAATGAAAAGTAAATCTTCATTGTATTTGCATTTTCTAATATTTTGAACGAGTTTATTATAATTAACATATTTTCTTTATCCAATTATTTTCTTGTTTTATTGATGTATTAATATTCTTAATTCGGAACTTAGAAACACAAAATACAAAAAAATCAGAAGTTTATTCACTCAGTACAGAAAATAAAAATCCTTAGGAAAAATAAGAGAAAATAGAAGAAGGGGTTGACTACAAAAATAGGTATGAAGCTACTGGAGGTTGAGCAGTTCCTTGTAGATGGGGAGACTGGTAATTTCCGTGTACGTGTGCAGGTCGTGTAGAAGGTGTGACAACCATTATGACTGCCTCGTTGACTGAATGCGACTCATGAGGTATAGCATGACTCGTTACTCCTCACACGGACCTACAAAGAAAAATGGAAAATCGTAATATCATATAATTATAGACAGCATAAAATAATCGTTTGGTATGTCATAACTATGTACTGAGAACAAAACTTTTTATTAAAGGCCAATTATTATCAGATTACGATTATTTGCTTTTAGTATTTTTATCATGGCGACGTGCTAAAACCGTATGGATCATCCTACGTCTGTAGTATGAGACGTAATCAGGTGTGATCCTAGAAAGTATAAGACGGCTCCGCTCATAGTAACTGGAGCTACCTTAATCCCTGGATAAAAAGCCCCTCACAAGCAACGAAAAACAGATGAAAATCTGACCTAGTTGGCTTAACAGCAAAACTAGACTTACCCAGATGATCGATAACGTAGACAATGTTCTCGCCGTTAGCTTGTGCCTGTATCTCTGCCTGGCAGAGCTCACAGACGTTGTTGTAGGTGCTGCCAGAGATCTCACACACGGGGCTATAAGAGTGAGTGCTACAGTCCTCCTCCAGTACTGAGGACTCGCAGTGTGGCACTATGTTATGAATGTATGGCAGGCACTCTCCTGGGTATGCCTGTGGGAGGGAAGAGATTCTAGTACCAGTCTTAGTTATACCAGAACAATATTTCCAATAAAAGTGAGATTTATGGTTAAAAAAGCACACAAATTTTGGGTAAAAAGCCTGAAGTTGTTGATTTTATTAGTTTTCAAATTTTAATAAATTAATCTCGTTGTATTACTTTATTGTATTTCTAGCTCACGATCTGGCAAGAAAAGAAAAATCCTCCAAAGCAATATGGTTTTTCACTTTGGTTGAACACCATCTGCAAAGCAACTCGCTAAAATATTAGTTATTATTTCGCAATGGTTTTTTTTTCAGTCTGCTGGGCGCCTCCCCGTTTTCTGTTCACGGTCCAAAGATTTTATTTTTCGCTTTTATGCATTAATGCATTTATTAGTTTTGTGGCATGTTACAGATGAATATTTTTTTTTAGCTAATAATACAGGGCGCTTCAAAGAGATGAACCCAATTTTATAATACAACTAATCCACAACTAATCCTAATTTAAACTTGCAAACGTATCTCACAGACGTACATGAGCTGCATAATATACTTACCTCACTGATGTCTGCATCAGATAAACAGTCGGCTACCTGCAACTCGCACAGGTTGGCATAGGTAACGTTGTCAGTGCCACACACAGGCATCCACACAAAATCACACACATCATCGCAGTTCTTACACTCTCCAATGTATGCCTGCGGGGAAACATAACATGAAGAACCACCGCAGTAGGCCTACTGGCTCATGCTAGGAATAAAAGAAACTTAGAGAGGAATATAAGAGTGTGGTGAGAGGTGTGGGAGGAAAGAAATGGTTTATGAAAGAGCCCATAAGCCCATAGTAGTAGAGGGAAGGTGATATACCAGAGTACCACTAATTATACCTGACTCAGGAAGGTATACGAGGTTCGCTACATCAAAGATACATTTGCAACAGCAATAAATATTCATGATTTGATAAACTTAGCCCAGTTACCTACTAACCCTAAGAATGCACTAGGTATACTAAACTCGGAAATATACTCACCACAGCAATGTTCTTATCATAGTTATGTACACACCACAGCATTATACTCACCACACCAATGTCTTCGTCACTTTCGCAGTCGGCAAACTCTAAGGTACAGTTGTTTGAGTATGTGATGCCATCTGTACCGCATACTGGATTGTATTCATCCGTACAGACCGGGTTACAGTCATCCTGGCCGCTGGCTGAAGGTGAGAGCGAGGAACAGTACAGTAGTGTGGTGTGTGTTACAGAGTGATGAAAAAAGTAAGACCAGATAGTATAGTACATGGGTTTTAATAGAATGTTCAACAGAATAATGCTATTAAAAGAAGGTAACTTGGCAGACAGATGGAAGATGGCACACATTGTACCAGTATTCATAAAAATGTGACAGGACAGTTCCTACAAACTATAGGCCTATTGGGTTTGCTGCTCACTTATACCGTTTACTATTCTTCAAATCATAGCTTACGTTTAGCCTACTTTTCTTTCCTCATTTTGTCTTGGCTAGTTTGTTTCCAAACATTGTATTCTGGAATTAATGTGTCTGTCACATACCAAGAAAGGCGGCCAGGGATAGAAGCAGGAATCTGATTAAGATCTTCATGACTACAGTCTAAATGCTGCCTTCACCTGCTTATATATCGAGCTCTTATCTCTCTGTTAGTGCGTGGGACGTCTGTGAGTGCACATTCACGAAGTGCGTTTCTCTCGCGCACAGAAGACGGAGGTCTTGCGCTGAATGACTTTCACGGGTTTAGCGCTGAACATTAATTATTATATTTGTGCTTGTGTGCTAACGTGTACATGTTCGCTTTAAGAAGAAAAATATTTAGATTTATTCACTGTAATAATTATTGACGAAGCAAGATATTTCCTTAGTAATTCGTCTTTGCTTTTTCCTCCTCCTCCTTTATCCACTTTCAGCTATGTAGCTCGGGGAAAAGGAATATATGTTTGTTAATATATGTAATTTAATATATTGAGTCCATATCGTTTCTACTTGCTTTAAAATTAAAATTTCTCGTTTATTTAAAATTTTCAAAAAAAAATTTTGCAGTTTTTTTCAAAAATTTTTGTCAAGGCTTCTGTTTTTCTTTCTCGCAGCTTGATAGTCTTTTCCATTTCAAAAGAACGTTCCGTTCCAAACAGTGCCATTACAAAGCTGATAATGGTCCAGAATGGACCGAAAGGACATGTCATTGTTTAGTACTACAAATATCAGTTCATGATTAAAGAATATTTCAATAACTTTTTCCGTATTATCTTACTATCTTTCATTTCCTACACAGGGTGAAAGACTTACCATGACGTATTACGTAGATTAAGTACTAAAATTTAATTATTTTTCGTTTAGAATGAAAACATATTTTGAAAACACGTCTTTGATAAGCAGCATATTACACTTTCTGCCCAACAGATCCATAAAACTGTGAAACAGAAATGAGTTTTTTGGTTTATAACTTTCACATGTTTACCAACAATAGGCCCTGCTTTAAAATTCTCAGCTATTGTGCTCAAAGTGACTTCAACTCTGTTGGAAAGTCGTCTTTTAAACTGCCGTGGAACCCATTTAAAAGTGTCGTAACTACTGAAGCCTTGTTGCGGCAGTAAAATAATTTCTGGGTTTTAATGGCACATCTAGATTCTCACCAACTTCGTAACTCTAGCTTTTGTCCCTCCCTTTACTTATGATATAGTTCACAAGTGCTGGAAAGTGTTAGAATTGTAAAATATTGTTTAAGTTAAACACTTAGTGCTTGTCTATTGTCTGTCAGAAATTTGATTGATATTTCTTATTTGAAAATGTCGTTTTAAAGTTATATATTACTGACAATTGCAGTTGAAGAATCTAAACTTGTACTTTATAATAAATATCTGTAATATTTGTAATTGTTTGCCTACTAATTGCGGTAAATGCTAATTTAACAGAATTTATTATGTTCTCTGTTCTCGGAACATGTTACACATGTTCTCTGAAGCTGTGTGTGGCATTTGTCTCCACTTCAGAATTTTTCTTATAACTTTCTTCTGGTTCATCTGTATCTTTTGTTTCCACATGTCATCTTTCATCGTATTCTTGTAGCGAAATTTCTCATTTTAGTTTCTGACTCAATTCAGTGTTTCATACTGTTTCTCTGACTCCTTATTTTCTACATGCTCTGTTGCTTAACATTTGTTTCTCTCGATTCACGAATGAACTAAAGACTCGGCATTTTCCATGTTCTTCGTCGTGTTCGATATGAATCAGCTACCGCTCTGAATTTGGACGTCTGTATTTTCTTACCTACCACTTCACTTTCCCATTATACTTCCGAAAATTCTTCAGTCCATCGTGGTCCTTTTATACTCAGGTTTATTGTGTGCATCTCCCTGCATTTCTCTATTCAGTCTTGCAGTCTTTTTCTCGGTCTTGTTTCCATTACATGTTGGCTCGTGCACTTCGACATTGCCATCCCTGAGGTTTACTCTCCACGTTTCCAGGTCAATGTGAGTCTTCTAAACGCAGTTATTTGAAGTTATTAGTTTTGCTTTCTGTCTGTATGCTCTTTTTGCTTATTTTTCCTCTCCCATATGTATCTCTACAGGCTATTTTGATTACATTTCTCCTCTGGCCTCCTAGTGTTTGGTGTAACATTATGCACTACTGCCATTGCTGCCTTTTGTATTTTTGTAAACCATTTTCCCCCTGTCTAGTCATTAAAATCTTAAGTTTCCTCTTATTACATTCAAGGGTTCAATCCACGAAAGGTAAGGTCGGGTTCAATTCCTTGTATCAAGAGACCACCATCTACATCCAGGACGGTTCTAGCATCCAAGCTTCTCATTGCCTTAGTTTCATTAGTTTCTTTCTAGTGATGATCCCCTTATATTTTCTATGCTTCCTCTTTCTTTAAACACTGATGACCTACAGACAATGTTGCATATGCTACAACAGCAGAGTTCCTCACAATGAGAGAAGCAATGTTAATTGTCACATTTTCTCAGTTGTAATGTTCTGGCGCGAGGAAGCTTAATGCTCCAAATACGACCATCTATAACTGTCTCCTGCACTTGTATCTCTTATCGACGTAGGGGCGACGAGATGTAATTGTCTCGTGTTAGTTTATTTACCGGGAGAAAAATCACCTGACACGGGTCCTTGTCATTATATGATTGTTAATTTAGTAGTGTCAATGCAACAAGAACGATGCTGTATATTATGCAAACACACGCACTGAAGAGAATACCTTCATTTTCAGTTCATTCGCTTAGGATTGAGATTTAGTCTACAGAAAAACATAACGAAACCTCGTTTAATTTTGAAAATTGACGTTCGTTACATGTCTTCATATCCGTTCTCTACATCGTTAACTCTAAGTCACAGTGGCTTACCAGGTTGAGTGAAAAATAAATGGTCTAGGAGTGCTGAAATCTCTCATATGCGATGACTGTCTCATACGATCAGAGGTTTTAAGTGTCTCAAACGATAGAGGTTGAAGCGTTTCAGATGAGCCAAGGTTTAAATACCCAAGACGCACCATGGTTTTAAATGTCTCAAACGCTGGGACAGTCATAGATGGTTCACATAAGGACATTTGTTCTTGCCGCGTTTAGTTGTATGATTTTTGTTTGCTTGGTGACTTTATCTTTGCGCCAGTCAGATGTTGTTTTCAAGTGTAGATAAAGCAGTTGTTGCTGCTTTCTTTGGTGGTCGTAAGTAGTTTCTCTCTTTTGTTCATCGAGAGGCTCGTCTCGCTAATGTTTTGTTAATGAAGAGTAATTGTTTATTGTATTAGTCTGAGTAAATGTTAAAATTATTATTATTATCATTATTATTATTATTATTATTATTATTATTATTAATAAATATCTTGCTTTTCTTTATCCGATTACATACGTTCAATTTTTTTTACTTGATCAGTTATATAGATATTCAATGGCAGTAATTTTTAGCTTAAAACAGTGTTCAAAATTAGATATTTATTCACTCATCAGTACAGAAAATGAAAATAATTAGGAACAAATGACAATGGTGAGAGGAGTTGGATACAGAGGGACGTGAAATTTTAGACGGGTGAGAAGGTCATCACAGTGAAGGGAGGGAGAGTCGTCGTGTGTGGTGTAGATCTTGGGAAAAAACTGTGTGATAACCATTGTAACTGTCTCGTTGATTGAATGCGATTGCTAGCGAGTTGCAACCTAACTCGCTACTCCTCACACGGACCTATAATAAAAAACGGGGACTCGTTAAATGATACACTTTTATGCAAGGCAGTGAACAGTTACCTGATATTTCATAAGTAAGTCAAGTACTGACAGTAAATAAAATATTAAAAAGAGAAACAGTATTATTAATTTTATCTCAATTTCATTTTGAAAAAAATATTATGATTATTTTATTTTCATTATGTTTAGAGGAAATGGAAGGTTATCAGAAATGATAGGAAGAGGAGGTCATCTCTACTCAAACTGGAGTTACTCTCCTCTTCCCCGGATCAAAATCCCTTAATGAGCATCACTGAAACAGATGTAAATCTGACACCGTTGACTTGTATTACGTAACAAGACTGACCCAGATGATGGATAACGTAGATAATGTTCTCACATTAGTCCCTGGCCGACCTGGCAGATGCCTGGCACTCTCCTGGGTATGCCTGTTGGAAAGAAGATAATCCAGTACCAGATAGTTATAGCATTTTTCCCATCAAAATTTAGGTGTAATTTTTTCCCATCAAAATTAAGGACCATTAACTTAAAAACGTAAATTTAGATTAAGAAAATGACTGAACTCCCAGATTTTAGTGGTTCGTTTTAAAGAATTTGTTTCGTCTACTACCATTCATATTTCTAACTTATGATCAGACACAAAAAATACTTAGATACTCCGAAGCAATATAAGTTTTTCACTTTGGTTAAAGATTGTTGGTAAATTAACGTTCACGCTAAAAACTTAATGTGGTTATTTGACAATGTATTTTAGTCTTGTAGATTGTTCCCTCTCTTCTGTTCACGCTCATTTTTTTATGTATTATTGCATGTATTTGCTTGTGATATTTTACCATTGGATATTTTATTTCATAGCATATAATTTAAACGTACATAACCTAACTTACAAATGTACTTGAATCTCTCAGACGTTCAGGTTTCTCCTCACGTTCATACATGACAGACGTACAATCAGGTTTTCACGTTTTCACGGCCTAATACACGTACCTCACTTATGTTTTCGTCAGAGAGACAGTCGGCTACCTCCAGCTGGCACAGGTTGGCATAGGTAACGTTGTCAGTGCCACACACAGGCATCCACACAAGTTCACACGCGCTGTTGCAGGTCGTACACTCTCCAATGTATGCCTATAGAGGAAGCAAGCAAGGATGCAGTGAGAGAGAAGGGTGTGGTGAGAGAATTGACATAACTGGCAAGAGTGGGATGAAAGAAATGATATATGAAGGAGAGAAAGAATTGTAATAATTATAGTAGATTAGGAGAGAGTGAAGATGGTGTACCCGAGTACTGGAAAGCGCGCACTCAGCGAATTTTTCACAACAAAGATAGTTTGCAGCGAAAATAGATATGTTCACCTCCAGTAATGTAATAATCCTCAAGAGTGTACCAATCTATCAGGAGGCCTGGTCACAGACCGGGCCGCGGGGGCGTTGACCCCCGGAACTCTCTCCAGGTAAACTCCAGGTACTAACCTCGGCAATATACTCCCCAGACTTTTAGTAGTTACACGATTCGGTCAGTCACAATTGCCTTTTCATTCTTCCAGATTTTCAGTTATTTACTTAATCCAGAAAAATATCAAATTGCATTTTCAATTATTTGATAATTGATATATTTTATTTTTCTCCGATTGCTTCAAATTTTGATGTTCGAAATAATAAGCAAACATCTTATCACTCTCCACTAAGTAACTTTTGTTCTATTAAATCATCCAAAGATGAATGGAGGTTACAAAATATTTGAAAAAAAAAAAAAAACTTGGATTCATGTAATTAATTTTACTGCGGTGGATCTAAGACATATTTTCATTCAGTGCTATTTAAATAAATAAGGCCCCTCAAGGAAGGTTCCTTGATGTTGGTGAGGGGCTCTTGATTTAGGGAAGTGGATCTGTGCTCCAGTTCCCCGAATTAAGCCTGAATGCCTTCCACATCCCCCCCCCCAGGATCTGTATAATCCTCCGGGTTTAGCGCTTCCCCTTGATTATAATAATAATTAAATAAGGGCACTGCAACTAGATGATGAACGAAATAAGGATCGCTTCAACAAAATATTTTAGAAAGTTGCAAATTAGTTCTTTCACAAGTAAAATAATTAAAATAACATTGATTATAATTGTGCACAACAACTTGCATAAGGAGACATTCATTTTCACATAATGCATTTCGGTTGCACTTTATCAAGAGTGGATCGCGGAAGGATGTAGGTCTCTAGCTGTATCCTTGTAATAAAGTTGATAAAGCTCCTGGAGAGCGAAACGTTGCCACAATAAATGTCACATTAGTTGCACTTGTGTCCTTTTACTTTACAGCTGTATCCTTCTTGGAATTAAAATAAAAATATAACAATATGCTCTCGCCGACTGTTGAAACAGCTGTGTAATCCATTTCACCTGAACGTTTCTTCAGAGGGAACATCTCTGGATGAGAATATCTCTTAACAGGCCAAAGGATCTACTTACCTGGACGATGTTCCGGGGGTCAACGCCTCCGTGGCCCAATCTCTGACCAGACCTACTTCAAATGAAACACAATCCTCTCGTATATTTTTTTTTTCCAGAACTTGAGCAAAACGAGAACCACATCAGAATTAATTTATGTACCATATGAGGTTTACTCTCATTTTGTCATTAGCTCATCATGCCCGGTTTTATGATGTAATTTACGCTTGAGATCAATTACAATTACGTTTTAAACCTAAAACGTGAATTACAATTACTCCCAGCCACGGCAAGGTACTCACCACGGCAATGTCTTCGTCACTTTGGCAATCAGCCAACTCTAAGGTACAGTTGTTTGGGTATGTGATGCCATCTGTACCGCATACTGGTCTGTAATCAGCCGTGCAGGCCGAGTTACAGTCATCCTGGCCGCAGGCTGATAGAGAAAGAGAGGAACAGCGTAGTGGGATGCGTGTTAGACCGACAGGCCGACCGACTAGGGGGGATAGTACACAGTTTTAAAAGAATGACATGAAGTATAATGTTGTCCATCAGACTATAGGCCTGTTTGCTTTGGTGCTGTCCGTCAGACTATAGGCCTGTTTGCTTTGGTGCTCAAAGATATACATTGCTAAGCTTACATAGTGTTTGCTTATGATTATTCTAATTATCTGTGCTTATTTTGTCTCGGCTAGTTTGTTCCCTAACATTTCATCCTGGTATTTGTACGTGTTGCCTGTCACATACCTAGGAAGGCGGCCAGGGAGAGAAGCAGGAATTTGATGATGGTCTGCATGACTACTGTAAAAATGCTGCCTTCACCCGCTTATATACTGAGCTCGTATCTCTGTCTCTCTCCCTTCCTGTGTTGTGTGTGTGTGTGTGTGTGTGTGTGTGTGTGTGTGTGTGTGTGTTCACGTGCGCTTCATGAAGTGTTTATTGTTTAGTCATTGCCACAGTTATTTCCTAAGAACGGTATTAGTTTAGTCACTCTTCTCTGCTGATTACTTAATACAATTACTACTACAGCTCTTACATTTCCCTTTTCTCGTGTATACGAGGTATGATGTACGTAATATACTTTGAATCCATTGTATAGTTTCTAGATATTCTGATATAAAACTTACTCGTATTTTTATTTGAAGTTTTTCTGCTTTGGGTTTCAGCCACAAGTCAAGGTTTTTATTTTTTTCTCACAACTTGATATTGTTTCCCAAACAAATAAAAGTGACAGTACCGTTGTTTAATGAAATTAAGTTTTGTATCTTTAATTTTTTTTTTTTTTTTTTTGAGAGTTCTTTAATATTGTAAATTTAAAGCTATTAAAGAATATTTCAATCCCTTTTTCCGTTTTTCTTCACTGTTACCTTTATTATTCAAGGGGTAACATTAATCGGGTTAGCATTATTCAGCCCCTTGGAAATGTAAGGCAGTTAGGAATGATCCAAGGGAGCGAAAGGTAGCTCTGGGTCTTCAGATCAAGAGCCCTTCCCCAGTATCAAGACCCCATCTCTCAGGAGGGCCGTTTTGTCTCCATGGCCCAAACGCAGCCATGTTGAGGCCATAAAAGAGAGATGAGATTAGTACTGTGTATTTCAGCCTCGCTTTGCTTTATTTTCTGTTTTATTGTCTGCATGCGGCTGGTATGGGCCATTGAGCTTTGTTTACTTCACTTCTGTGTGGAAGCCTTTGCATATTTGTGTTGCTGGAAATTATTGTTTACATGTATGTGTCACTTGTCATTCAGCTGGAAATTAACCTTGGATACAGATTTTACGTCTCAGTTTTAGTCATCTCGACGGAATGGGAGGTTATCCGGATTGATCCGAGGAAGAAATGGGTTGGTCAAATTTCTTGAATCAAGATACTTTCCTCAGCATCAATGCATTCGTTAAAAGGAACCTTCAGTTTAGTCGTCTAGTAAAAGTAGAAGTCACATTGCTATCACCGAGACTGCACCCAGATATCATTTAAACGTTACCTTGATGTCGTCTGGATATTCGCTTTGTCATCTCGTCACACTGTTGTCACCATGAGGCCAGCTCGTAGTGACTTCAGGATCCTCGAGATGGCTGTCAACTGTGTTACCAAGGGGAGAAAATTGATAAGATTTTTTTTTCATGTGGTGTTAGTGAAGCTTTTTTCCCCACTGTTGTGGTGGTAACGGTGGTAGGGATGGAATGCTCCCTAATGGTATTTCATGGTACTTTCTGTGCATCTTGCTGTCTGCGTGAGAATCTGGCTGAGTGTTTATACCTTTCTGAGGATCTATGTACACTCTGACCATTTCGCAGTCAAACTTATTGAACATATTGCTGTGTATCGTCCCTTGAGTAGCTGTCTACCTACCTTTTCTAAGCAGCAACTTGTAAACCTCTCCTGAACATCTAACGGTATGCTGCCTTTGAGCATCTTGCTGTCTGTTCACTTTTCTGAGCCTATTTAACTATTAGTCTTCAATCACATTAGCTTTGTCAACTTCTTACCTAAACATTTATTTCAAATCATCGTTATAAAGTTTTATATTACTGCAAATTACAGATGAAAGATTGGCATTGGTACAATGTAACAAATATCTATAAAAATAAATTTTTGTTTTTAAAATGTTGCTTTATCATAATTTATTGAGTTCTCTGTTATTGGAAGATGCTGGAGCTGTGTATGGCGTTTGTCTCCTCCACTTCTGCATTTATATTCCATTACTGTACCACCCTAAAACTAAAGAAATATTTCTTAACGTTCTCCTAGTTCATCTTTATCTTTTGCGTCCACATGTCATCTTTTATCGTATTCTTGATTTTTTATTTTAGTTTTTGAATCAATTCAGCGTTTCCTACTGTTTTTCGAACTCCTTATTATCTACATGTTGTCTTGTTACTTCACATTTCCTTCATTCCATTCATGTGCTCGATACGAATCTGTTGCCGCTCTGAATTTGGGCGTCTGTGTCATCACTGGTATTTTCTAACGTATCAATTCACTTTCCCATTATACTTCCGATAACACTTCAGTTCCTCGTGGTCTTTTTGTATACCAGTTTATTGTGTGCATCTCCCCGTATTTCTTTCTTCAGTCTTGCAGTCTTTTTCTAAGTCTTCTTGTTTCCTTTACATGTTGGCTCGTGCAGTTCCACATTACGATCCCTGAGGTTTACTTTCCATGTTTCCAGTTCATTGTCAGGCTTCCAGTTCTTCTTGTCCGTCTACTTTTAATTGCGATCTCTTACAATTATTAGTTTTGCCTTCTGTCTGCTGCTCTGTTTACTGATTTTTCTTATCGCTTATGTATGTAATATTATGCCCTACTGCCGTTGTTTAATTGGGAATTTTTGTAAACCATTTCCAGTCTGTGTAATCACTAAAATCTCAAGATTCCACTTATCTTAAAGGGAGTAGCTCAAAACTCCTAGGGGCCGTGCAGTTCCTGAGGTTGAATGGAGAGCAATTAGGTTCCATCCACGAAAAGGAAGGTCAGGTTCAATTCCTTGTATGAAGAGACCACCGACATCTTGGACCCTCCCAGGAGGGTTCTACCATCCAAACTTCTCGGCGTCTTAAAGTTTCATTGGTTTCTATTTAGTACTGATGCTCTTCTACTTTCTCTTCCTCTTTCAACACTGATGCCCTTCAGTGTTGCATATGCTACTACAGCGAATTTTATCACAATGATAGCAATGTTAGCAACTGTCACATTTATCAGTTGCAAGTACAGCTGCTGACGCGAGGAACCTTAATAAATGCCCTAAATACGACCATGTTTGAATGTCTCCTGCCTTGTATCTTATCGACACAAAGTGACGAGATGCAAATGTCTCGTGTTAGTTTATTCTCCGAGAGAAAATCGCCCGACACGGGTCCTTGTCATTATATGTTGGTTAATTTAGTAGCGGCAAAAGAGCAAGAACGTTTCTCTATAGTATGTGAAGACACGTACTGAAGAATATACCTTTACAGATCATTCACTTAAGACTGAGCTCTCGAGTCTACTTAATAAACTAAGAACTTCAAGCATAATATCTAATGAAGAGGGGAAAATATATGTTTTAGGAGTGCTGAAATCTAAGTGCAATGATTGTATCAGACGATCCGAGGTTTAAATGTTTCACATGAGCCATCGTTTAAATGCCCTAGACGAACAGAGGATTTAAATGTCTCAGACGCTGGGACAGTCACAGTGGGTTGAGATGATATACACTAAGGGCATTTGTTCTTGCCTCGTTTAGTTGTATGATTTTTGTTTGCTTGGTGACTTTATCTTGCTCCAGCCAGATAGTTTTTTCTAGTGTAGCTGCTGTAGTTATTGCTGTTTTCAGTGGTGATTGTTAGTAGTTGCTGTGGTTCATGGTTATTTTCTGATCGAGAGAGAGGCTAGTTTCGCTTGTGTTTTGGTGAATTATTGGAGTAAATTTTTAAATTATTATGATTACGATTGTTATTAGTGGTAGTAGTAATAGTAGTAGTCGCAGAAGCAGTAAATATGTTTTTTCTCTATCCGATTATATATTTTCATACTTATTTAACCTGATCAGTTACGAAGATATCTTTCCTAGGTAGAAATTTTTTGCTTAAAACACAGTTCAAAACTGGATATTTATTCACTCATCAGTACAGAAAAAAAAATATTAGGAACAACTAACATTGGTGAGAGGAGTTGGATACAGAGGGACATGAAGTTGTAGAAGGGTGAGTAGGTCATCACAGTGAAGGGAGGGAGAGTTTTCTTGTGTGGTGTAGATCTTGGAAGAAACTGTGATAACCATTGTGACTGATGGCAAGGAGCAGCGTAACTCGCTGCTCCTCACACAGACCTATAATGAAAAATGAGGACTCGTTAAATGACACACTTTTATGCAGGGCAGTGAACAGATACCTGATATTTCATAAAGTTTAGTATTGATGACAAAAATATATTAAAAAGAGAAACAAACATTATCATCATTTATTTTATTTTTGGAAGTTTCATTATGATAAAGAATCATTTTATTTTCATTATATTTAGAGGGAATGGAAGGTAATAAGTTATCACAGGAAGAGAAGGGCATCTCTACTCAAACTGGAGCTACACTCTCCTCTTCGCCGAATCAAGAGCCCTTAACTAGCATCATTGAAATTCAGATGTAAATCGAACACCGTTGACTTATATTACGCAACAAAACAAGACTGACCCAGATGATCGATAACGCAGATAATGACTCACGAAATCATGATGACACGATTGCAAACAAACCATACCACGGGCGGGGATAGAACCCGCGATCAGAGAGCCTCAAAACTCCAGACCGTCGCGTTGGCCACTGGACCAGCTACTGGTCCAGTGGCTAACGCGACGGTCTGGAGTTTTGAGACTCTCTGATCGCGGGTTCTATCCCCGCCCGTGGTATGGTACGTAGATAATGTTCTTACATTAGTCCCTGGAGCTCGCAGACTCTTTATGAAGGGCTTCCTGGCACTCTCCTGGGTATGCCTGTGGAAGAGAAGATAATTCAGTATAAGTCAGTTATGCTACACCATTTTTCCCACCAAAATTAAGGTATATTTTTTCCATAAAAAACAGCTTCGATTTAAAAAAATGCCTGAACTCCTAGGTTTTAGTGGTTTTCGCATTTTAAAGAATTTGTTCCGTCTACTATCATTCATATTTCTAGCTTAGGATCTGACGCAAAAAAATATTAATTGAGACACTTATGCAACACATGGGAATCTTTATTGAAGATACGTTTCGCCACACAGTGGCTTCATCGGTCCAATACAAAGTAGAAATATTAGATTCTCCGAAACAATATCAGTTTTCCACTTTAGTTTGAAGATTGTTGGTACAGCAACGTTCACACTGAAAGCTAAATGTGATGATTTGACAATGCATTTTAAGTCTCCTGGACGGCACCCTGTTTTATGTTCAGATTTAGTTTAACTGTATATTATTGCATGTATTTGCTTGTGATATTTTATAATTGGATATTATATGTCATGGCCAATAAATTAAACGTACCTAACCAAACTTACAAACGTACTTGTATCTCACAGACGTTCAGGTTCCTTCTCAGACATACATGACATTGACATTCGGGTTTTCAGAGATGTACATGTGCGGCCTGATACACGTACCTCAGTTATGTCTTCATCAGAGAGACAGTCGGCTAACTCAAGCTGGCACAGGTTGGCACAGGTAACGTTGTCAGTGCCACACACAGGCATCCACACAAGATCGCACGCGTTAGTGTAGGTCGTACACTCTCCAATGTATGCCTGTAGAGGAAGGAAGGAAATAAATGGTATAAAATACCGACACAATGGCAATATAAACACAAATGCAGTATAATGTGATCCTTTATGGACTACTGTGTGGGCCCACTGTGTGGGCGAAACGTAGTCCATAAAGGATCACATTATACTGCATTTGTGTTTATATTGCCAGAGGAAGGAAGCAAGGATGCAGTGAGAGAGAAGTGTGTGGTAAGAGAAATGACGTGAGGAAGAGTGGCAAGGGTGCGACTGAAGAAATGATGTATGAAGGAGAGAAAGAATGAATGAACATGAAGTATGACTATTATAGTAGTGTAGGAGGTAGTGAAGGTGGTGTATCCGAGTATAGGAAAGCATACTTTCCTCAGCATATTTTTCTCATCAATGATACATTTGCAGTAACAGCATATTCCTGATAGATATGTTTACCTCGACAATGTATTAATTAGCAATCCATCTATTTACTTGTAGTAATTACATGGTTCAATTTCAGTCACAATGCAATTGCAGTTACTCCCCAGATTTTTATTTACATTTACTTGTTCAGACTAAATTACATTTACAGTTGCTTGATATTTAATATTAAATTATTTTCTCTGATTGCTTCAAATTTTAAATGTTCGAAATAATCAGTAAACTTCTTATATGTAACATTTTAAGTCAAAGATTAACGGATGGGGAACATAATTTTTGATCAATTAAATCAGCCAACGGTCCAGGAAGGTTACAAATAAATCTCGTTTCACATAATGTACTTCGCTGTGTTGGATGTGTTACTTAAGGTATGATATTTGTTTATGATTGAAATTTAAACAAGGACACTGCACCTAGGATATGAACAAAATATGAATTGTTGCAATGCAATGTTGCAGATAAGTTACTCGACTCTAATGGTGCATAACAACTTGGATAAGTGACATCCATTTTCACTTAATACAATTCATTAAGAATCATACCTGGAAGTACTCTCAAATTTCTCGGTTGCACTTCATGAAGAGCGGAGAGCACAAGGTCGCAGATCTCACGCTGTATCCGACTGGGAGTAAAAAATAAAAATATCCCGGTATGCTAGATGCTCTCACCAGCTATGTTGAAAAGGCTGTGTAACCTATTTCACTTGTTAGTTTCTTCAGAGGGAACATCTCTGAATAAGAACCTCTCCAACAGGCCAAGGGATCTACTTACCTGGAGGGTATTCCAGAGGGCAGCGACCCCGCAGCCCAGTCCTTGACCAGGCCTACTTCAAATGGAAAACAATCCCCTCGTATGTTTTTTTTTTTTCTTCCAGAACTTGAGCAACACTTTAAGAATTACATCTGAATGAAGTTATGTATCATTTCACGTATACTCATTGTCATTAGCCAATCATAGTACACCAGTTTAATGATGTAATTCACGCTTGACATCAGTGAATTACAATTATATTTTAATCTAAAACTTCAAACACAATTACTAAAATGTATTTAATTACGTTCAGCTTTAATTACAATCGCTCCAAGCCCAGAAATGTACTCATCACAGCAATGTCTTCGTCACTTTGGCAGTCAGCAAGCTCTAAGGTACAGTTGTTTGGGTATGTAATGCCATCTGTACAGCATACTGGTCTGTAATCAGCCGTGCAGACCGAGTTACAGTTATCCTGACCGCAGGCTGATGGAGAAAGCGATGTTTTAAAGACCAACCAATCCACCAGCCAGGCGGGAGAGTACATAGGGTTTAAAAGAATAACAAGAATAATGTTGTCCGCCTATGAATTCTGAGATTTCAGTAATTGAAGGTAAATTGCCAGATGAAAGATGACAAACATTTTGCCAATTTTTTAGAAAGTGTGCTGTATAATCCTCCGGGTTTAGCGCTTCCCCCTTGATTATAATAATTTTAGAAAGTATGAAAGGTGAAGTCCCTCCATACTATAGACCTTGCTGCTCGAAGATATACACTGCTAAGTCTACATAAAATGTTTACTATTGATTACACTAATAATCTTTGCTTATTTGGCTAGTTTCCTAACATTTTAACTGATATTTGTACGTGTTGCCTGTCACATAACTAGGAAGGCGGCCAGGGAGAGAAGCAGGAATTTGATGGTCTGCATGACTGCTGTCTAAATGCTCCCTTCACCCGCTTATATAATGATCTTTCATCTCTCTCTCTCTCATCTCTCATCTCTCTCTCATCTCTCTCTCATCTCTCTCATCTCTCTCATCTCTCATCTCTCTCATCTCTCTCTCATCTCTCTCTCACCTCTCTCTCTCACCTCTCTCTCTCACCTCTCTCTCTCACCTCTCTCTCTCACCTCTCTCTCTCACCTCTCTCTCTCACCTCTCTCTCTCACCTCTCTCTCTCACCTCTCTCTCTCATCTCTCTCTCTCATCTCTCTCATCTCTCTCATCTCTCTATCTCTCTCTCTCATCTCTCTCTCTCATCTCTCTCTCTCTCATCTCTCTCTCTCATCTCTCTCTCTCATCTCTCTCTTCTCTCATCTCTCTCTCTCATCTCTCTCTCTCATCTCTCTCATCTCTCTCTCTCATCTCCTCTTTCTCATCTCTCATCTCTCTCATCTCTCTCATCTCTCTCTCTCATCTCTCTCTCTCATCTCTCTCTCTCATCTCTCTCTCTCTCATCTCTCTCTCATCTCTCATCTCTCTCATCTCTCTCTCATCTCTCTCATCTCTCTCTCTCATCTCTCTCTCTCCATCTCTCTCTCTCTCTCTCTCATCTCTCTCTCTCATCTCTCATCTCTCTCTCTCCATCTCTCTCTCTCATCTCTCTCTCTCATCTCTCTCTCTCTCATCTCTCTCTCTCATCTCTCTCTCTCATCTCTCTCTCTCATCTCTCTCATCTCTCTCTCTCATCTCTTTCTCATCTCTCATCTCTCTCATCTCTCATCTCTCTCTCATCTCTCTCTCATCTCTCTCTCATCTCTCATTTCTCTCTCTCTCTCATTTCTCTCTCTCTCTCTCTCTTCCTTCCATCCTTCCTCTTTCTGTGTGTGTGTGTACTCGCCTATTTGTACTCGCCTATTTGTGGTTGCAGGGGTCGATACTCAGCTCCTGGCCCCGCCTCTTCACTGATCGCTACTGGGTCCTCTGCTTCCTGAGCTTTGTCATACCTCTTCTTAAAACTATGTATGGTTCCTGCCTCCACTACTTCACTTGCTAGGCTATTCCACTTGCTGACAACTCTATGACTGAAGAAATACTTCCTAACGTCCCTGTGACTCGTCTGAGTTTTCAGCTTCCAGTTGTGACCCCTTGTCCCTGTGTCCCCTCTCTGGAACATCCTATCTCTGTCCACCTTGTCTATTCCCCGCAGTATCTTGTATGTCTATCGTGTGTGTGTGTGTGTGTGTGTGTGTGTGTGTGTGTGTGTGTGTGTGTGTGTGTGTGTGTGTGTGTGTACGTATGCTTCGTAAGGTAAAAAGGATATATTTTTTCGAGTCATTGCCAAAATTATTTCGTGAGGACAGTATTAGTTTAGTCGCTCGTCTCTGCTAATTACTTACTATAATTGCCACAGCAACTACTACTAGTACTACTATTTTTTTTTTTTTGTCTGTATCAGGCATGATGCAATATAATTTGATTCTAGTGTACAGTTTCCAGATTGTCTGAAATATATGTTCTGGTGTGTTTGTCGTAGGTCTATTGTTTGTTATAGGTCTATTATTTCATCTCTTGTATTTTCTTACTTATCAGTTCACTTTCCCATTGTACTTCCCTGAATCCTTCAGTCTATCTTGGTTCTCTTTTCAGTCTTGCAATTTTTTTTCTGTTTTGTATTGTTTTCCAAGAAAGTGACAGTACCGTTGTTGAATAACACGTTAAGTGGACGACGGTTCATTCTGTACAGGACCTTCATGAAATTGATGATTCAGAACGAACCGAAATGTCTTGTGGCTATAATTTATTTGTCGTTTTTTTATGAGTTGTTTAATGCTGCAAATTTAACGCGACTAGAGAATATTTCAATATCCCTTCTTTCTGTTTTTCCTCGCAATTATCTTGGTTATAATTGTTATTATTCTAGGGGTAACACCACTCTAGCCAGTATTATTCATCCCCTTGGAAATATTAGGCGATTAGGAATGATCCAAGGAAACTAAGGGTAGCTCTGGGTCTTAAGATCAAGAGCCCTTCTCCAGTATTAAGACCCCACCCCTCAAGAGGGTCATTTTATCTCCATAGCCCAAACGAAGCCACGCTGAGGACATAAAACAAGTGATAAGATTAGTACTGTTTGTTCCAGCCTCGCTCTGCTTTATTTGGAGTTTTATTGTCTCCATGCGGCTGGTATGGGCCGTTGAGCTTTGTTTATTTCACTTTTGTGTGGGAGCCTTTGTATATTTGTTTGAATTGCTGAAGACTGTTTACATTTATATACACTTGTCATTCAGCTGGAAATTAACCTTGGATACAGATTTATGTTTTAATTTTCGTCGTCATTTCGACGGAATGGGGAATGGGAGGTTAGCCGGGTTTATCCGAGGAAGGAATGGGACGTTCAAATTTCTTGAATCAAGAAGTCTTCAACAGCATCAATGCATTCCTTGAAAAGAACTTTTGGTTTAGTCACCTGGTAAAGGTGGAAGTTACGCTGATATTAACTAGACATTAACGATACCTTGACGTCATCTCGTCGTCACATTGCTCTCACCTCGAGGCCAGTTTGTCTTGACTTCAGGTTCCTCGAAATGGCTCTATCAGCTGTGGTAACAAGTGGAGAAAATGTGATAAGAATTTTTTTCATGTGATGTCGATGATTTTTTTCAACAGTGGTGGTGGTGGTGGTTAGGGGGTAGATATGGAATGCTCCTCCATGGTGTTGCATAGTAATGTCTGTGCATCTAGCTGTCCGCCTATGTTTGCAAGTATCAAGCTATCTGTTTAATCTTTTCTAGGTATTTTTCTGTGCATCTTCCTTTAGGTAGATAGCATCTAGCTGTCTGTCTACCTTTCCTGAAGATCTAATAGAATGTTTACTGCTTTTAAGCATGTGGCTGTTCCTTTCTGAACCTGTTTAAATGTCAGTGTTCAAACACATTAGCTTAGTCAACGTTTTCCTAAGACATTTCTTATTTCAAACCATTTTAACTAAATATGAAATCAAATTACAGTTAAATGATTTACATTCGTACATTAAAACAAATATCTAAAAAAATAATTGTTTATCTACTAATTGTGGTTAATGCTGCTTTATCAGAATTTATTCAGTTCTCTGCTCTTGAAACTTGTAATATCTCTTCTTTGAAGCTGTGTATTGCATTTGTCTCCATTTCCGCATTCATCTTATTCCATTACTGTAACTTTCTTCTAGTTCATCTTTTGCTTCCACGTATGTCACCTTTTATCGTATTCGAGTAAAGAAATTTCAGTCCTTTTTACTGCTGTTACTAGGACTTTGTTTTCTATGCTCTGTTGCTTATCATTTCCTTCTCTCCACTCACGGCTGAATTAAACACTCGGCATTTTTCATGTTCTTCCTCGTGCTCGATGTGACTGCTGCGGCTCTAAATTCGGGTATCTATTGTGTCATCTCTTGCATTTTCTTACCAATCAGCTCACTTCCTTTATACTTCCGTTAATTCTTCAGTCCATCGAGGTCCTTTGGTACACTGGCTTATTGTGTGCATCTTCCTGCATTTCTCTCTTCAGTCTGTCGTCGCCTCGGTATTTTTGCTTACATGTTGGCTCCAGCAGTTCCACATTGCCATTCCTGAGGTTTACTCTCCACGTTTCCACATCATTGTGAGGGTTCCAGCTCTTCCCGTCAACCTTTTAACTGCAATTTCTTACAATTATTAGTTTTGCTTTCGGTCTGTCTGCTTTTATTGTTTATTATTTGTTTCTTTTTAGTAACAATGTTTCCTAGTTTCTCTCCTTGTTCTTTCAACACTGATGGCCTTCAGTTAATGATGCATATGCTACTATAGCGGATTTTATCACAATAAGAGAAGCAATGTTGACTGTTATATTTTCTCAGTTGCCCGATAATGTTGCTGACGCGAGGAAGTTTAATGGCCCAAATGTGATCATATTTAAATGTCTCCTGCACTTGCATCTCTTATGGAGGTAGAGGCGACGAGTTGTAAATGTCTCATTTTAGTTTATTCTCCGGGAGAAAAATCGCCTGACACGGGTCCTTGTCATTACATGATTGTTAATTTAGTAGCAGAGGCAATACAGCAGGAACGATGTTCTACAGTATGTGAACACACGCACTGAAGAACATACCTTCATTTTCAGATCATTCACTTAGGATTGAGCTCTCGAGCCCATAGATGAAACTAAAAGCTTCGAGCTTTAGCGGAACGTCGTTTAATATCGTAGATCGACTTTGGTTGCATGTCTTCGTACCCGTTCGCTGGATTTTTACTCTAGTTACCGTTGAGATAAGATAGGTCCCCTTAAAAATAACTATGGGCACCTTACTGACAAAGAGAATGAAATGTGCTTGATTTTAAATAATTATTTTCTCTCAGTTTTTACACAGGAAGACACTAACAATATTCCAGTAATTAATTTTTACAGTGGGCTAGAAGAAGATAAATTATGTAACATCACAGTCACTAGTGAGATGGTTGTGAAGCAGATAGACAGACTGAAGCAAAATAAGTCGCCGGGTCCTGATGAGGTTTTTTCAAGGGTTCTTAAGGAATGCAAAATGGAACTCTGTGAACCATTAACTAATATTTTTAATTTATCTCTTCAAACAGGTGTAGTGTCTGATATGTGGAAGATGGCTAATGTAACTCCTATTTTTAAAACAGGGACAAGTCGTTACCGTCAAATTACCGCCCAATAAGCCTGACCTCAATTGTAGGCAAATTACTAGAGTCAATTATAGCTGAGATTATAAGAAGCCATCTCTATAAGCATAGCTTGATTAATGATACTCAGCATGGATTCACAAGAGGCCGGTCTTGTCTAACTAATTTATTAACTTTCTTCAGTAAAGCTTTTGAGGCTGTTGACCACAATAAAGAATTTGATATTATTTACTTAGATTTTAGTAAGGCTTTTGATAGAGTTCCGCACCATAGACTGTTAAAGAAAGTGGCAGCTCATGGCATTGGGGGAAAAGTGCTCTCGTGGATCGAGTCATGGCTCACTGACAGGAAGCAGAGAGTGTCCATAAATGGGGTTAAATCCGAGTGGGGATCAGTAACAAGTGGCGTTCCACAGGGATCAGTCTTGGGCCCGTTGTTGTTTATAATATATATCAATGATCTTGATGAGGAATTACTAGTGATATGAGCAAATTCGCCGATGACACAAAGATAGGTAGGATAATTGATTCAAACGTAGATGTTATGAAACTTCAGGAGGATTTAAACAAACTCTATTCTTGGTCAGAAAAGTGGCAGATGCAGTTCAATGTAGATAAATGCAAGGTTCTGAAGCTTGGGAGTGCCCATAACCCTAGTACTTATAAGTTAAATGATGTAGAACTTAGCCATACAGATTGCGAAAAGGACTTGGGGGTTATGGTGAGCAGCAACCTTAAACCAAGACAGCAATGCCTAAGCGTACGTAATAAGGCAAATAGATTACTGGGATTTATATCAAGAAGTGTAAGCAACAGAAGTCCAGAGGTCATACTGCAGCTTTATACATCATTAGTAAGGCCTCACCTAGATTATGCAGCTCAGTTTCTGGTCTCCGTATTACAAAATGGACATAAATTCGTTAGAAAACATTCAGCGTAGGATGACTAAATTAATACCTAGCATTAGAAATCTTCCTTATGAAGAAAGATTGAAGACTTAAGTTACATTCACTTGTTAGACGAAGAATGAGGGGAGACCTGATCGAAGTGTATAAGTGGAAGATAGGTATAAATAAAGGGGATATTAATAAGGTCTTGAGGATGTCTCTCCAAGAGAGAACCCGCAGTAATGGATTTAAATTAGATAAGTTTAGATTTAGAAAGGACATAGGAAAGTATTGGTTTGGAAATAGGGTAGTTGATGAGTGGAACAGTCTACCTAGTTGGGTTATTGAGGCTGGGACTTTGGGTAGTTTCAAATTTAGGTTGGATAAATACATGAGTGGGAGGGGTTGGATTTGAGTGGGACTTTCACATCAGAGCTTATTTCTTTGGTGGCATTGAAAATTGGGTTGGGCAAATGTTTTGTTAGTGGGATGAATTGTAAAGGACCTGCCTAGTATGGGCCAGCAGGCCTCCTGCAGTGTTCCTCCTTTCTTATGTTCTTATGTTCTTATGATTCAGGAGTACGGAAATATAAGTGTCTTATGTCTGATGACTGTCTCGACGATGCGAGGTTTTTAAGTATTTCAGATGAGCCGAGGTTCAGTTACCCCAGACGCGCCGAGGTTGTAAATTTTTCAAACGCTGGGATAGTCACAGTTGGTTGAGGTGATAAAGACATGAGGGACAGTTGTTCTTGCCGCGTTTACTTATATGATTGTTGTTGTTTACTCGGTGGCTTTATCTTAGTGCAAGTCGGATATTTTTTCTTTTTTTGAAGTGTAGCTGATGTAGTTGCTACTGTTTTCATGGTGATTGCTAGTAGTTGCTGGGGTTTATGTAATTTTGTTAGAGAGAGAGAGAGAGAGAGAGAGAGAGAGAGAGAGAGCGAGAGACTAATTTCGTTTGTTTTGCTAGTGAAGAGTTTTTTTTTTATATATATATGAGTAATTTTTTAAATTATCATTAATAGTAGTAATAGCAAATATTATGCTTTTCTTCATCCGATTATATATTATCATCCTTTTTTTCTACCTGATTAGTTACATAGATATTCCAAGGCAGTAATTTTCTGCATGAAACACAAAGTTCAAAATCAGATATCTATTCACTCATCAGTACAGAAAATAAAAATAATTAGGAGCAAATAAGAGACAATAATGAGAGGAGTTGGATACAGAGGGACGTGAAGTTGTAGACGGGTGAGTAGGTCATCACAGTGATGGGAGGGAGAGTTGTCTTGTGTGGTGTAGATCCTGGAAGAAACTGTGTGATAACCATTGTGACTGTCTCGTTGATTGAATGGGTTTGCTAGCGAGTTGCAACTTAACTCGCTACTCGTCACACGGACCTGCAATAAAGAAACTCGTGAAAATGACACATTTATGCTGGGTAGTGAACAGTCACATGATATTTCATAAGCACGTCAAGTACTGGTTGCAAAAACTTTTAATAAGAAGAGAAACAAATTTTATCAATTTTCTAATTTTCAATAATTTCATTTTGAAAAATATGATTATTTTATTTTTATGTTTAGAGGGAATGGAAGATAATCAGAAAGGATCACAGGAAGAGAAGAGCATCTCTACTGAAACTGGAGTTACTCTCCTCGTCCCCGGATCAAGAGCCCATAACCAGCATTATTTAAATACAGATGTAAATCTGACACTGTTGACTTATATTACCCAACAAACAAGACTGACCCAGATGATGGATAACGTAGATCATGTTCTCGCATTAATCCCTGGCAGACTTCGCAGATGCCTGGCACTCTCCTGGGTATGCCTGTGGGTGAGAAGATAAGCCAGTACCAGATACAGTTATAGCATTTTTCCCATCCAAATTAAGAACCATTAATTTAAAAACATAAATTTAGATTAAGAAAATGACTGAACTCCTAGATTTTAGTGGTTCTCTCGTTTTAAAGAATTTGTTCCGTTTACTACCATTCATATTTCTAACTTATGATCTGACACAAAAAATACTTAGATCCTCCGAAGCAATATAAGTTTTTCACTTTGGTTAAAGACTGTTGGTAAATTAACGCTCATACTAAAAGCTTGATGTGGTTATTTGACAATGTGTTTTAGTCTTGTGGATTGTTCCTTTTCTGTTCACTCTCAATTTTTATCTATGTATTACTGCATGTATTTGCTTGTCACATTTTATAACATAAGAACATAAAGAAGGAACACTGCAGCAGGTCTACTGGCCCATGCGAGGCAGGTCAGGATTGTTTATTTCACAGCCTATAATTTAAACCTAACTTACAAACGTACTTGTATCTAACAGACGTACATGTGTCCTCAGACGTGCATATTCCTCCTCACAGACGTACATACATGTCAGACACATTTACGTCTTCACAGATGTACATGTGCGGCCTAATACACGTACCTCAGTTATGTCTTCATCAGAGACACAGTCGGCTAACTCCAGCTGGCACAGGTTGGCATAGGTAACGTTGTCAGTGCCACACACAGGCATCCACACAAGATCACATGCGTCAGTGCAGGTCGTACACTCTCCAATGTATGCCTGTAGAGGAAGGAAGCAAGGATGCAGTGAGAGAGAAGGATGTGGTGAGTGAATTGACATGAGTAGCAAGAGTGGGATGGAAGAAATGATGTATGAAGGAGAGAAATAACGAAAGAACGCGAAGTATGATCATCATAGTAGTGAAGGAGGAAGTGAAGATGGTGTACCCGGGTACAGGAAATCTCTTCAGCGTATTTTCCTCGTATATACTAACCTCGGCAATATACTCCCCAGACTTGGAGTAATTATCCTTGGAGTAATTATCTTTATCCAGATTTGCGATTACAGTTACTTCATCAGAAAATTTACAAATTACATTTACAATTGTCTGATGTTTTAAATTAAATTATTTTCCGCAGCTGCTTTCAATTTTGAAGTAAAGTCAAACAGACGGAGAACAGAACAATTTTTGTTCATCCAGATTGGCCAAAAATTAGGGAAGGTTACAAATAATTAAAAAAAAAAAAAAAACTTCATTTCACATAATGTACTTTACTGTGTTGGATCTAGGACGTATTTTTTTTCATTCAGTGGTATTAAAATAAATCAAAATAAGGATTGTTGCAATGAAATGAAATGCTGTAGAAAATTGCAAATTAGTTATTTCATTTGCCAAATAGTTACAACAACATTGACTATAATGGTGCACAACAATTTGCATAAGGAGACGTCCATTTTCACATAATACACTTCATTGAGATTCAAACCTGGAAGATACTAACAATTTCTCTGTTGCACTTAATCAAGAGTGGACCTCGGAAGGTTGCAGGTCTCTAGCTGCACACTACTGGGAGTAAAATATAAATATCCCAGTATGCTAGATGCTCTCACCATCTGTGCTGAAACGGCTGTGTAACCCATTTCACTTGCTCATTTCTCCAGAAGGAGCAACTCTGGATGAGAATCTTTCCAACAGGTCTAGGATCCACTTACCTGGAAGGTATTCCGAGGGTTAACGCCCCCGCTGCCCAGCGTTGACTAGGCCTGCATCAAATGGAACACAATCTCGTCGTACATACACAGCATAATAATATCTACCATTTTATGTGTACTTTCATTTTGTCATTAGCCCATCATAGTATCCCAGTTTTATGATAAAATTAACGCTTGACTTCAGTCAATTACATTTTAATCTAAAACATCATTTACAATTACTAAAAAAATGTATTTAATTACATTCGGCTTCCATTACAATTACTTCAAGCCCACCAATTGACAATGTACCCACACCAGCAATGCACTCACCACAGCAATGTCTTCGTCACTTTCACAGTCAGCAAGCTCTAAGGTACAGTTGTTTGGGTATGTAATACCATCTGTACCACATACTGGTCTGTAATCATCCGTGCAGGCCGAGTTACAGTCATCCTGGCCGCTGGCTGATGGAGAAAACGCGGAACAACGTAAAGGGATGCGAGTTAGAAGCTGACTGATCGACCAGGCGACATAGTACATAGGGTTTAAAGGAATGACATGAAGTACAATAGCGTCCACCTTGGAATTTTAAGATTTCCCTAAATGAAAGTAAATTGGCAGACAGATGGAAAATGGCACACATTTTGTCAATATTTAAAATGTGACAAGGAAGACCTATCTCTAGGCTTGTTGCCTGTGCTGCTCAATGATATATATCGTTAAGCTTACATAGTGTTTGCTTATGATTACTCTATCTTTTCTTGTTTTGTCTTGACCAGTATTTGTGTGCTGTCTGTTACATACCTAGGAAGGCAGCCAGGGAGAGAAGCAGGACTTTCATGAAGATATTCATGTCTACAATCTAAATGCTGCTTGCTCTCACCCGCTTATATACTGAGCTCTTATCACACTCTCCCCCCTCCCCTTCCATCCCCCGTTGTGTGTGTGTGTGTGTGTGTGTGTGTGTGTGTGTTTGTTCACACGTAAGCTTCATGAGAAGAAAAGAATTTATTTTTTCTAGACATTGCCATAATTATTTCCTAAGGACGGTGTTTTAGTTGCTCGTCTCTGCTCACTACTACTACTACTACTAGTACTACTACTACTACTATTTCTACTTTTACTTTTTTTCGTGTATACGACGTGTGATGTAATATACTTTGAGTCCAGTGTACAGTTTCTAGATATTCTGAAATAAATGTCTCTTATTTTTATTTCTGTTGTAGGTTTCTGCCATAGGTCAAGGCTCATATTTTTCTTTCTCACTGCTTGATATTGTTGTCCAAGCAAATGAAAGTGACAGTACCGTTGTTGAACGACACATTTAGTGTCGTTCAACAACGGTTCCTTCTATACAGGACCATTGTAAAGTTGTTGATTCAGAACGAAACGAAATGTCTTGTAGTTATATTATATTTGTCGTTTACGAATTGTTTAATATTGTAAATTTAACACCAATAATGAATATTTCAATATCCCTTTTCTGTTTTACATCACTATTATTATTATTATTATTATTATTACTGAAGAGGAAATACCACTCCAGCTCCTAGGAAATGTAAGGCAGCTAGGAATGATCCAAGGAAGCGAAGGGTAACTCTAGATATTCAGATCAAGAGCCCTTCAGAAGCATCAAGACACCAAGGAAGGGCTATTCTACCCCCGTCTCTTGTTTATCAAGGATTGTCTCCATGGGTCGAACGCAGCCACACTGAGGCAATAAAACAGTTGATAAGATTAGTGGTGTTTATTTCAACCACACATTGCTTTATTTTTCTAATTTATTGTCTCCATGTGGACTGGTATGGGCCATAGAGCTTCGCTTATTTCACTTCTCTATTGGAATTTTGTTTTCCAGTTTGATTCTTGTTACTGAAAGTTATCATCTTACATCTGCGTATTTTTCGTATGTCTGTATATTGGCCGTGGATGCAGGTTTACGTCTTACTTTTATCATCTGGACAGATCCGTGGAAAGGAAGGATGGTATTTCTTGAGCAATGATGTCGTCACCAGTGTCAATGCACTCCTTAAAGGGAACCATCGGTTTAGTCACCTGGTAAGGTCACAAGGACATCGACGTTATCTCACCGACACCTTGATGTTAACTCTGTTCGCTTGACGTCATCTCGTCGTGACACTGTTGTCACCTTGAGGCCAGTTCACCGGGGCTTCAGGTTCTTGAGATGACTCTGTTATTTATCTGTGTTACCGAGTAGATAAAATGTGATATGATAGTTTTTGTCGTGTGTCAGTGAAGCTTTTTCCCACTGTGGTAGTGAAAGTGGGGACGGAAGGCTCCCCCATGGCGTTTCGAGGCTCTCTCTCTCTCTGTCTCTCTCTCTCTCTCTCTCTCTCTTTCTCTCTCTCTCTCTCTCTCTCTCTCTCTCTCTCTCTCTCTCTCTCTCTCTCTCTCTCTCTCTCTCTCTCTTTTACACAGGGTTTGACAAGGCTAAGGATCCCTAGCTTTATTGACAAGCTATTTACAGGTTAAGGATTCCTAACTTTATTGGCAAGCTAAGAGCTGTTACCTACATCAGCTCATTTGAAAGCATTTTTATTGTTATGAGACATACAAGTAGGAAACAGGATGAAGTTGGAGCCATCTGTGGGCCAGAATTTTCATTTGATCAACTGGCTTTATCTCGTTGACATCATTATGCTGTACGAATGTGTTCCATACTCGTGTCATCCTGGGTATGTATGATCTCAGATGGAGTGATGTTCTGGAGAAGGGTACAGCCAGAGTGAAGTTGCTGCTTTCTGCCCGTCTTGTGGCATAAAAGCTTGTTTCACGCTGTCCTCGAAGTGGATCCAAGTGTGGTATTTTGACAATATTGGCCTTGTACATAACAGTAAGGCCACCCACATCCCTCCTGTGTTGAAGGCTCTGCTGAAATGACAGATCTATCCAGGATGGGTCCAGGCGAGAGATGAGACGTCTTGCTCTGTTCTCTACTCTGTCAAGCAGTCGCACTCTCTCTCTCTCTCTCTCTCTCTCTCTCTCTCTCTCTCTCTCTCTCTCTCTCTCTCTCTCTCTCTCTCTCTCTGCCTGCTTCTAGCTGTCTGTCTACCTTTCTGTGTAACTTTCTACATTTCTGAGTATCGTATCTAATTACTCATTGAACACTCTCGCTATCTACCATTCTGAGAGTTTAGTTGTCTGACTTATCTTTGAGTATCTGTCTATTTTCTAAGCATCTAGCTGTCTGTCTCCCTTTATGAACATGTTTACCTCTGAGTCAAGCTGTCTTACTAACTTTGTTAACCTGTTGCTGTTTGCCTAGCTTTCAGAGCATCTCACTGTCTACCTTTCGGCACAAGTAGCCGCCTCTAAACATTTCTCAGCGTCTAAGTGTCTGTCTTCCTTTCAAAGCATCTAGTTATCTACTTTCTAAACATTTTGTGGTCAGTCTACCTTTTAGAAAATTTGTTTACCTTTCTTTGTTTACATCTCCGTCATCCATTACATTACCCTTGTCAAATTTTATCACAAGCTTTTTTTTTTTTTTTCAAAATATATTTTTAAACTAAAATATTGTAAATATTGATTAAAGGTTTGTATTTGCATATTAAAACAAATAAACATCTGTTCAGTGTGTGTTTTCTTACGAATTGTGTTAAATAATATTTTCATTAGCCTTTGCTAGGCTTCCTCTTTTCGTAACCTATTGTACCTCCTCTTTGAAGTCTTTTATGTTTGTCTCCTCTCCTTCCTTTTCTCTCTCGTTCCAATTTTATATCGCCCTTCTGTGTAGTCACTGAAATCTGAATCTTCCACAGGGGCAACACACTGCCTGGGAAAATGGGAGGCAGTTAGGTTCGATTCAAGAAAGGGACACCATGTCAAATTCCTTGGAACAAGAGACTCTCAAAGGCTTCTCAGGGCTCCTCCACCCTTCTCAGTGCCTTAAAGCTTCACTGATTTCTTTTAAATAACAATCCTTTACCCTCTGTTTCCTCTTTCTTTCCACACTATGTTGTTACCGTTGATTTGATCACAGTGATGATAATATCAGCATCTGGGTTATTTTCACAGTTGCTTTATGATGTCACTGACTCGTCCTGCTTTTTTATACTATACTGTGCTGTGTAATGTCGCTTTTTGCTGGAAGTAGTGCAATAAGTTACTGGGAAAGAGAGAGAGAGAGAGAGAGAGAGAGAGAGAGAGAGAGAGAGAGAGAGAGAGAGAGAGAGTGGGTGGTGGAGCGTGAGATGGAAGGGGAACATGTTAAATGACAGAGTCATAGGGAGGATAATTGGGAATAAAGGATGACAACGACTCATATATATATATATATATATATATATATATATATATATATATATATATATATATATATATATATATATATATATATATATATATATATATATATATATATATTAATTATTGCCTTATTCATATTATTGCTTTCTATTTTATCACGACTTTCAACAATTTTCCAAGGAATAATGGTTGAATTTACTGACAAAATGTTAAGTCAATGGACACAGATGCCGGCTTTATAAAGCTCCTGGGGAGCAAAACGTTGTACAATAAAATGTCACATTAGTTGTATCTATGTCCAATTACCTAACAATATTCCAAGTGACGCCCTATCACAAGCTGCCTTGCAGTCTGGGAAGAGGCAGTCCGACCATTCTTTTACCCCTCTTAGTGTGTCATTCGCATCTGAAAAGTTTGTTACGCATGGCCATTCATTTCTGAATTCACTCGGGCGTTTCGTGACAGATGTAGTGTTTTCCAGATACTCAAGTTTGTTTTCCCTTGTAATCTTTTCTAGAGATCTGCACCTTACGAGCGCTAGCTATTTATTAGTCGTTTGACACTTCACTCATCAGTAACTTGTTCAAGATCCATGTGAATGGCTAGCATAATATTTCAGCTTCTCGGAATATTCCTGCGAGATAGCCTATCTAAACCTTTTAAATTTGATGTAATACGTTCCATCAGTTATTTCCTCACTTCCTCGGCCCCCCCCCCCTTTTTTTTTTATTTTTTTATTTTTTTAATCCCTGGTAGTGTCCCTCTTTCTCCCTTTGTCAATTTTTATTATGTGAATGTTAAGTCGCTCTGGCCTTGGCTGATATATCCCTGTCATACTGTTGGTCATCTTCCTTCTTCACCTGAAGATAATCTGTGGTCCCTTTTCTAGCTTGCCGGATCTCGGGTTTGGTATAGGTTTGGTACTAGCTCCCATCTTGTTCCTCATCCTCATATCCTACATAGACAAGGATGTCAGCCACAGCACCGTGTCTTCCTTTGCAGATGACACCCGAATCTGCATGACAGTGTCTTCCATTGCAGACACTGCAAGGCTCCAGGCGGACATCAACCAAATCTTTCAGTGGGCTGCAGAAAACAATATGAAGTTCAACGATGAGAAATTTCAATTACTCAGATATGGTAAACATGAGGAAATTAAATCTTCATCAGAGTACAAAACAAATTCTGGCCACAAAATAGAGCGAAACACCAACGTCAAAGACCTGGGAGTGATTATGTCGGAGGATCTCACCTTCAAGGACCATAACATTGTATCAATCGCATCTGCTAGAAAAATGACAGGATGGATAATGAGAACCTTCAAACTAGGGAGGCCAAGCCCATGATGACACTCTTCAGGTCACTTGTTCTATCTAGGCTGGAATATTGCTGCACTCTAACAGCACCTTTCAAGGCAGGTGAAATTGCCGACCTAGAAAATGTACAGAGAACTTTCACGGCGCGCATAACGGAGATAAAACACCTCAATTACTGGGAGCGCTTGAGGTTTCTAAACCTGTATTCCCTGGAACGCAGGAGGGAGAGATACATGATTATATACACCTGGAAAATCCTAGAGGGACTAGTACCGAACTTGCACACGAAAATCACTCACTACGAAAGCAAAAGACTTGGCAGACGATGCACC